GATTTTCCTGTGTAAGGCTTATAGGACGGTTAGCACTGAAGCCCTACCTGTGCTCGCGGGCGTACTTCCGGTAGATCTTGAGGTGCAGCGACGTGCTGCTATGTACTACAGTGCGAGACCTAATTTGTCAGCAAGCTTTCTGGCAGAACGTGATAGAAATAAAATTGCAAGATTGTTTAAGCCAATAACGGACGTTTGGGATGAGCTTATAACTGAATGGCAGGGTAGATGGGCATCTTCTATTAAGGGCCGCCACCTGTATCAGTTCTTTCCATCCGTGCATGAGCGGCTGGAGAGGACATGGTTGGAGGTGGATCACTGTGTTGCCCAATTTCTTACTGGCCACGGCAACTTTAAAGGCAAATTGTTCTCATTTAAACTTATTGATTCACCATGGTGCCAATGTTCGACAGAGGAGTTGCGATACGAGCAGTCGGCCCATCACATACTCTGGGAGTGTGATCTCTGGCAATATGAACGTAACACTATGTTAAATAATTTAATTGTTTCGTCAGGTGTAGTTTATTATACGGACCTTGTGGAATCTAGAACGAATTTCCGTGCGTTTAGGCGTTTTTGCCATACCTATTATTGGAAGCAAGTATAACAGCTCACACATAGGACCCACTTAGTTTTTAGTCAAATTTCCGTGGTGCTTGGCGACTGGGCTTCACCCAGTTGTACAGTCTCTTCTTTGTGCCTTTAGGCTTAATTCATTCTGTCTCCTGCAGTAATTCACCGAGGGAAGTGGAAACTATAGTTTTTTCTTCTTCTCCTCTTATAATATCTTCTGATTCACTTCGTTGCGGGAACCAAGACAGTTACTCATGTCCCTGGGACGCGCCGGACTTCAATGTTCCGGTGTTTTCATGGTTGTATCTACTGTAGATCCTGGCTTACAGGAGTTGCAGCGGTTTTGGGAGGTTGTGGCGGGCTTGTCCCATAAAAAAAAAAAATGTTGCCCCACAATAGGATTTACTCCTGTATCGTGGGTGCGTTTACAAACATACAAGTTCACATACACATGACACCCAGACCCGGAACAACAATTTGTAGATAACACAAAGAGTTGTTCCGTGCGGGGCAGCCGGTTGTCCAGCCGTCATTTTCCGGACTATGAACCTCCCCCAAATATTATCTAATCTAGGTAAAGCCGCTGTTAATAGCTAGTATTAGTATAATCACATGTATCTATTAACTAACTACTTAAAATAACCATGACCGTGTTTTGAAAGGAAGTCTATATCTAAGGCAGTTTTGCCGGTCAAGTAGAACACTGGAAAATACCATATTTGCACTGTATTACCTAGATTTTATTAGAATATCAAGGTGGACTGACTTACCAGCGTTGTTTTTGCAATTTTTTTCCTTATAAATGGTTAACATAACATAACATCTCGTCTTTTATCCCCGTAGGGGTTTTTTTTTTAAGTTGGGAAAATCATCGAATGACTGCTCCCGCCTGGGTGAGGCGGGAGGGAGTGTCAGACTCTAACTGACTAAAAACCACCCCGTTCCTTCTCCTGCACTTCGAGCCGGAGCCCCGGTTACCCGTTAGGTTCTCCGCGACATCCCCGTAGGGGTAGGCAGAGGTGCACATTACGGCATTTAATGCCACTACAATGTAACGCCCACTTTTCACTATTTATGTTATGAGTCTCATCACTCATGTATTAGGGGGTGAGCCTATTGCCATATACTGGACACAGTTTCAGACTCCGCGGTACCACTGATTTAAAAAAAAACCAGTAATACTTTGCTCGACCCGGGAATCGAACCCCAGATTCCTTGCCTGGCAGTCGCATTTGCGACCACTTTGCCAACGAGGTAGTTATGAAGAATGGATAAGTAGTTAGTTTTTCTAGCAGCTTCGGTTTTGTCGAAAATCCTACGGAAATTTTATGAAGGGCTTCTGCTAGGGGCTTCGCCCGCGTTACAAGGGATAAAAAGTAGCCTATGTGTTATTCCTAGCCATCAGACCACCACAGATGGGGCCCAATAGGGCTGATGCCGATACGGAGTCGCGGAGGGCTTAACGGGTTGCCTTGACTCCGTTTCGAAGTGCAGGAATAAGAACAGGGTGATTTTTAGTCAGTAAGAGTCTCAACTGGCGACAGAGACACCCTCTCTCGTCTCACCCGGCCGGGATAAGCCATTGGAGCCAAAAGAACATTTACCCCTGTTCGAAACTTCATCACGATCCCTTCAGCCGTTTTTGCGGGCAAGAGTAAGAAACACACACGCACATACATATATAGAGACAGTGGTCAAGCGTCGATCCAAAAAATATATAAAAAAATGTCTCTCCCACACTTAAACTCATTTTCAACTTTATTCTTTTGATATAACTAAAGACGAAAATCCAATGATTGATCCGAGTAGATTGACCAGCTCAGCCCGCGATCACAAACAGTTTTCATTGAAGGTCGTCCACAAATACCTCATGCAATGTAAACTACCAATCAATATATACGAATTATCTACATTTGGTATTTGTTTAGGCTGTTCCAAATATTCTGAATGTTTTAATTGGGTCGCAGTGTTGTGTAAACATTGGTAATACGATTTGATATGAGTATTTGGAATATGACTACCTCGTCGGCCGAATGTAGTATTACTGTAGTAAAAATTCTCAGTAGTATCACGGAGTCTGGAATAGGGTAGATGTCTAATTTTTATTTTAATGTCTGTCTGGTTGAATATTTTAAATCATAACACACGTATTTTTTATTTTCTTACAGAAACGAATACTTTCGACGATATATTGATTTAAAATGTCGCGTGACGTCACTTCTATGTACATTTTATACGTAGAAATGACGTTTTATCCCCCATTACTAAACTTTGATTCGTTTTGTCTAAGTATTGTTTTATTATACAACAAAATAAATAATTACATGTCTAATATTTTTTCATTACCTAACTGACGGACTAATTAGATTTTTAATTTTCATACCCTGTCACCATCCCAATTGTGCCCAGTGTATGGCAATAGACTCACCCCCTATTATATGGAACTCATAACATAAATAGTGAAAAGTGGGTGTTACATTGTACAGTGGCATTAAGTGCCGTAATATGCACCTCTGCCTACCGCTTCGCGGTCGGCGAGATGATGTTATGTATTTGGTGTTTTTGTTTATGTGAGGTCCAAAATAACAGTGATAGTCCACTGTTCGGGGTATATTCTGCCATGGCAGCGCAACTAGTCGTCGCTACCAACAAACTGTATTAGCTGGTTGGGCAACCAATCGGACACCAGGTGAGTAACTCTCTATAGAGCTGTATACACATTGTTGGTCGCGGCGACTGGTTGCGCTGCCATGGTGTCCTGGTGAAATATAGCTCTTAACTATGGGTTTCTTCTACATAAGAAGGTTTGCCGTAATCTTCATAATCAGCACTTCACAGTGTAAAACGTTCAGGGTTTATCCGAGAGCGCTGCTGCTCAGTCTCTGTAAAATAGTGCTTTAAACTGTCAAACACCAAGCGGTCACCGGTGACCGCAACCTATTGTTCTATAATTGTGTCTATAATGACGGTGCTTGACGAGTTAACCTCTTTTATGTCGGTATTTAATCCACAATAGAAAACGCATTGTGTAGACTGTAGATAGATCTACGCTCCGATATACCAGAGGTTAATCGGCTCTGACAATATCCGCGAGAGGAGTAGACGTGATGACAAATTAATTCTCTATTTTGTTACAACTTTATATTGTCCAAAGATCATTACTACTTTTGCTGATTTGCATTATTAATAACTTCTATATAATAATATTAAATATTTCTTCTGTTTGTATCAATTGTGAGTTCACCTTCAATAAGTTTTTGTTTATGGGAAATGTGTATTTATGTTTAACTAGCCTCTGCCTGTGACTTCGTACGCGCAATCACATTTTCCCCCCGTTCCCGTTCGTGATTTTCTATAAAAGTATCCTATAAAAAGTATTCTATGCCCGTCTCCTGGTTCTAAGCTACCTCCCTGCCAATTTTCATCTAAATCAATCGAGGCGTTCTTGAGTTATAAATAGTGTAACTAACACGACTTTCTTTTATATATGTACTAGCGACCCGCCCCGGCTTCGCACGGGTGCAATATGCATGTATTATACATACATACAAACCTTCCTTAAGAATCACTCTATCTATTAAAAAAAACCGCATCAAAATCCGTTGCGTAGTTTTAAAGATCTAAGCATACATACGGACATACAGCGAAAGCGACTTTGTTTTATACTATGTATTGATGATATAGGTTTTTTAAATTTAGGCTAATAACTATTCTCTTGTGCATGGTGTCCTATTGTAAACCGATTTGTTGTAATATGATGTGTTAACAGTCGTTGGCTGACCCTAAATAAATAAATAATACTAAAGCTAAGCAATTCTAATAATGCAAGTCGATTTGTTTTGAATTACGTCAATAACTATAACTGCAATTTAGCAAAAATAAAATGGTATCTATAAACTACACATGTATTTTCGGTCGTGTTTAGTTTCTCAGTCATTTAGTCACTAGTAATGAAGTAGTTGTATCGGTTATCAGATCTATGAGAATGATATTCTGAGGAGTTACGTGTACGTTAGGATCATAGGTGATTAGAAAAAAGAAGAAAAATAGATGGTTTGTAAGTGAGATGATATAAAAGTGTGTGTGATTTGATATCTGATTATATTTTGTAAGAAAAGAATGGATGAACAAGATAAAGATCCTTACTATTATAAATAGGAAAGTGAGTTTGTTTGTTTGTTTGTTTGTTCCGCTTTCACGCCGTAACTTCTAAACCGATTGCTTTGAATTTTTGCAGGCGTAAAGTTAGAAGTCCGGAATAAATAATAGGGTACTTTTTATCCCGGAAAATTTTGATATTCCCGAGGGAAAATAAAAGAATTGGTATAAATGGCGCTGTGTGTATTGGTATAGGTCACATAGGCTACTTTTATCCTTTTGTGACTCGAGCGAAGCCGCGGGTAAAAGCTAGTAAGAAAATAATTGTTAATATAGAAAGTTGAATCGTTATTGATAATAATTTATTGCTAGCAAGCGCGCCTTTTACTCTGTATTGGATATAATATAGTGTACAGTGGTTAATATTCATTATTTAAATAATGGAGACTGTAGCTGAAGTGAAGAAACCAAAGGCTGCGAAGAAGCGGTATTCCATCGTGTCTGGGAGCGACTTTTGTAAGTGTTTTCAAACAAACTTGAACAGCTTCTTACTTGGTTGATAAAGTACTCGTGATGCGTAACGATGTCCACTTGGTCCTTGCAATACTTATCAGGTCTGAAGTTGTCTGTCCACCTTGTGGAATAACATCCCTTTTTTGTAAGGATAATAAAATCGTCAAATGACTATGAAATGACTATCGTCCTGGGTGAAGCGGGAGGAGTGCAAAACTCTTATTGACTGGAAATAAAACGCCCCGTGCCGGGTCCCTGGTATATTATGGAGACTTCATCTGCAAACCCGGCAGGGTGAAGTAGGACGTCCTGCGCTGCGTACTTATCACTAAAATCTATATAAAAGACGAATTTCAAACCAGCCTTGGTGGCTGGTTCCACCATGCTAATGCCGAAAATCCTCTTCTAAAATTTTTCATTCTCTTGTTCCAGGGTCATCATCAGATGAAGATGAAGGAGTTCAACCTCATGAAAAAGCCATTGCAGCTGGACAACCAAATCCAGCATATTGCGTCCGTAATATTGAACAGCATGCCTTCGGAAGACGGGAGATTGAGATCGCTGAGCAGGAGATGCCGGGGATCATGGCGCTCAGAGCGAGGGCCAAGGATGATAAGCCTCTGAAGGATGCTAAGGTAGGAAAAGTTTTAATAATATCATCGTCTGATGAAGGTCATCGACAGTCTTGTCGATGGAGGTCGAGGGAGGAAGATTAAGGTCGAACGGAGCCGCTAGTTGCAGGTCGCTTCCTATATTTAGCAGTGGACGCCCTGTGGCTGATATGATGATGATGATGATGATGATGATGATGATGATGATGATGATGATGATGATTCTCTAATTATGTTTTCTCAAATACTAGCTTGCAATTGAATTCAATCAGGTTTCCTTGTGTGAACCGCTAAGGAATGAAATTCATTGCCGGAATCCTTGTTTGGCCTGATACCTGTGCGTCTTTTCGCCATCGACCCTCACGGCAGCATATTCATCCCCATCATATAGACAGATGGTTGGCTGGCCACAACTGTGCGCTTCTCTCGTAGCTTTCTCTACCTCACCAGAAAACCAGCTAAACTGTAGAATGACAGTATTGTCCATGGGTGGCGCTGATCGCTTACCATCAGGTGATCCGTCTGCTCGTTTGCCTCCTATTCCATAAACAACAGTGTTTCCCGACCAATGTAACTTAGGCGTCTTCAAGTCCCGAGTGTACAGGTTGCTCATAGGTAGGCGTGCTCCATCGCCGGCCACATCATCGCTTACCACCAGGCGAGATGATGGTCAAACGTCGACCTATTAGGTATAAAAACACAACATCACGCCTTTTTACCCCCGGAGGGGTAGGCATACATATGTGCACTTTGCAGCACTTAATGCCACTGTATAATGTAGCACCCACTTTTCACTATCTATATTATGAGTCCCATGTATGAGCCTATTGTTGCCCTATACGGGGCACAATTCCAGACTCCATGCTAACATAATATAAAATTACATCACGCCTTTTATCCCTGAAGGTGTAGGCAGAGGTGCACACAGAAGTAACACACACTTTTCACTATTTGTGTGAGTCCCATGTAATAAGGGGTGAGCCTATTGCCATATACCGGGCACAATTCCAGACTCCATACTACTACTGAGAATTTTTTAACTTTTTACCTAGCAGTCGTAATTGTGACCACTCGCCCAACAAAGTAGTCAAGTAGAAATAAAAATTTCAGTGCACCTCATAAGGTCTTCATGTTTTTCAGTAAAATCTACCTTTGTACATATACCTCTAAGTACAGTTTCACAGTTCTGAAAGCCACGCTTTTAACTCTACCCACGTTTCAGGCTGAAATAATTTGTTTTCAGCACGTTCTATGTACTTAGTTTCTTTCAGTTAATGAGTAGTTGAGGTTTTTAGGTCAAGTTCTTAGGTGACGCGTTATTTCGTAGATGGGGTAGACAGAGGTCCACGAATACCAATGTAACAGCCACTTTTCACCAATTATGTTATGCAATAGGGGTGAGTTTATTATCATATCACAACAGCAGCCTATAAATGCCCACTGCTAAGCAAATCAATGTTATTATAGTTTAATTGAGTATACGGCTGATAGAGTAAATTTTCAACACAAATAATAGTTTTATTAAAACTTGATGTTAATATTAATTTAGTTGTAATTAGGTGTATTATGTTCCATAATGTAGACAGGGAAGATTATTGTCGGTAAATACACTAGATTAAGAACATACTATAAAAAATTTTGTATGTCTGTACAGACACAATGTAGCGAACTACTATAATATTATCTATCATCTATTGTAACATACCTACATTGACGAAATAAACAATATTTGTATTTGTATTTGTATTTAAACTTCATCTCATACGGAGAAGGTTTGAGCATTAATAACCACGCTTGCTCAATGCGGGTTTGTGATTTCAAACTCATAATTAGGAATTTATACGTTCAGGTTTCCTCATGTTTAGCTTAACCGTTTGTCAGTGGCGTCTGAATAATCTTAGGAAGTACATAGAACTCATTATTGCCATATACAGACCACGATTTAAGTCTCTATATTTAGATTCAAAAATTTTCGATCGGTGTCGCCCATGGACATCTGGAACACCAGAGGTGTTACAAGCGCATTACCGGCCTTTTGGGGATTAGGAGTTTGAGGATCGTTGGGATTCAGGAATTGGGGAGATTGGCGAAGGGGAATGTAATTGGGCCTCCGGTAACCTCACTCACATGACGAAACACAACACAAGCGTTGCTTCACGTCGGTTTTCTGTGAGGCCGTGGTATCACTCCAGTCGAGCCGGTCCATTCGTGCCAAAGCATGGCTCTCCCACACTTGTAAACCTTCCCTGGATTTCCACAAACATTTGAAACATTTCAACACCAAATTAGGTTCAGCAGTTCTCGAGTTTTAGCGAGATTATCGAACGGAAATTCATTTTTATTTATATAGATAATGAAATACGATTTTAGTCGAGATAAAAGATTTGTTAGGTTAATTATGATCTGCCAGCGGATTTTTATTTTGGCTGCCAATCTCAACAATGAGTGAGTGATGAGTTACGCAGAAGATTATAATAGACCACACGCATGTGTTTATAGTGCGCATCCTCTCAAACTGAGGGCTTTATTAGTACATGTTTGTTTTACGTTTAAAATAAAAAACGAGACCGCGTTCAGCTCTCGGATTGGTTCGTTCATTGGATCCGGCCAATCAGACCGAACGCGTACTCATTTCGATTACTTTCACACTTAATTAATTATCTTTATGTTTCTCGACTTACTCACGTAATTATTTGACGAGGAAGTCGACTAGTTTCAAGCCATGCTAGAGACTCGAGTAGCCTGTAGCAGCGCGACTTTCGCCGCGCTGTGTCGGGCAATTCTGCTCATGAAAGTGAACCTCTTTTTGTGATGGGGTAACATCACCCAATGACTTCTCCCGCCTTAGGTGAGGCGAGAGGGAGTGTCAGACTCTCACTGTCTAACAACCACCCCGTTCCTACTCCTGCACTTCGAATTAAGTTTTCCGCGGCACCGTATCATCATCCTATTGGGTACCATCTCTGGTGGTCTAATGGCTCTTTGAGGCGCGCGCGGAATATAACGCGCTGTAAGCTCGGGTCTGGTTCTGGTCGGGCGGCGAGTCACCCGTGCTCGCCGTCGAATGTGAACTCCTAGCGTGGTTTGAAACTTTAAGTTATCTCGACAAACAATGTATCAAAAACTCACAATAATCTTTTCTTTCCCCCACAGATAGTAGGCTGTACTCACATAAACGCTCAGACGGCGGTGTTGATTGAGACGCTGGCGGCGCTGGGCGCGACCGTGCGCTGGGCAGCTTGCAACATATACAGCACGCAGAATGAAGTAGCTGCCGCTTTGGCTCATGCGGGTGAGATATGCTATACTTTTGTTTTAGGATTTTAGGTTTAACAAGATTCATGACACAATTTCACATAAATAATATTGGTAGATTGAAAATATGTAACATTACATCACTCTTATCGCCGAAGGGGTAAGCAGAGGTGCACATTACGGCACTTAATGCCACTGTACAATGTAATACCCCTTTTTCACTATTTTAGTTATAAGCCCCATGTAATAGGGGGTGAGCCTATATTGCAATATACTGAGGACAATTACAGACTCCGTGCTACTACTGAGTTTTTTTTAAACCCAATAATACTTTGCCCGACCCGGGAATCGAACCCGAAACCCCTAGCCCGGTAGTCGCACTTGCGACCACTCTTCCAACAACGCAACTAAAATATTTCTTAATAAAGGGCATTGACTAAAATTGGTGCCTCTCTTTTTTCTGGCGGCAGTCTATGATTTATGGAAAATATTATCTAGAATGGCATTACAAACGAAATTGTCTATGGGCTCATATATGGAAATCTCAGTCTGGACTGAGTTATGAGTGTTAAAAGAAGCTGGAATCAAACATTTTACTTTCGTTTTTTTATTCAAATTATTCAGATTTTTGTCACAATTCCTAACTTCAAATTGCGCGCCACTGTACGCCGGGCACAGAAACACCAAATCACACCACAATATATCCATATTGCCAGTCGCTAATTTTTATTACCTATTTTCTCTTAGTCGATAACTTGTGGGATGCTTCTAGGAGTTGTGTCATGAAGCTTCAGAGTGTCAACTGTGGTACCAGTGGTGGGTTGAGTAGTTGTAGCCGTCCAAACATCTAATAAAGTATTTTTTGCCGTTGACTCCTGGTGGGAGACTCAGCTACTTTATATAACTATAAAGTATAATCTTAAACTATAATCTTAAACTATAAATATAACTATAAAGTATAATCTATAATCTATCTATAAAGCATAATCTTTTGAAGAAAGCAAACCGTCGACTTTGTAAAGTGCTGGAATATACGTCAGATGAGCGCATAATTTTTTTATATAATGTAATCATTCGAAATGCATCACTTTGTGACTGAATGACGATGCCTTTGTACAGAATCTTAAGCTAGATGTAGATTAAAGTATTAACTGTAGTTAGATTAGTCACTAATCGGAAGTAGGTAAGTCGGGAGAAGTAGACAGAAAAATGTTTTTTTCGTGTTTTGACGACTGTTACTACTCAATCCGCTACCGACGCTGCAGCTGACAAATATAGCATTTCATGATAGGGGTCAGTGAAGTATTTTGCGGGTTTTTGACTGAGAAGAAATTGATCATGAAAATCTGTCATAGGCCATAAACCGTGTTAAATTGAACACGCTACCCAATCAAACGAAATGTTTTTTTTCTTCAATAGTGGTCAGTTAATGATTCACTCTGTTCTGATTCCGTAGCCTTATAACAAAAAAAAAAACAAATATAACAAACAAAAAAAATAAGTAAAAACGTCCACAATAAGCTTTATTATATTCCTTGATATCGTCTATAAACATTTATTACAAAATATTTCTGACAAGTAAATTAAGAAATATGCGTTGTGTACGGTCACCATCAACAAAATCACAGGAATTATATAGCACTATTTTCACATCTTTGAACTGATTTAACTCGGTTCGGACTGTGTTTTTGATATAAGACCCCATACATTTTTTTGTTTGTAATGTTATTTTGCATCAGTTTATCCACATTCGATCAACTGCCGCGAAAAAATGAAAAGGCACCACGCTCCATACAAATTTGGTCATTGTCATTTCTAGGCTACGCAATATTCGCATGGCGCGGCGAGAGTGAAGAAGCGTTCTGGTGGTGCATCGACCAGTGTTGTACTCCCACAGCGACGTGGACACCCAACATGATCCTCGATGATGGAGGAGACGCCACCCATCTCATGCTGAAGAAACACGCCGCGGCCTTCAAACATATTAAGGGTATGACTTTTTAGGTTTATTTGTTATTTTTTTGGGACGGTCTTTTAGTGGTCTACTGGTCTACTAGTGGTTTATTTGCAATTTATTTGTATTCCATTAAGTCTTTGACTGCCAATAGACTACTATTGAAGGCAATTCATCTGCTAACGATGGTCGCCGGTGACCCAAACCAATGGCGTTTACCGTGTTAGAATTTAACAATGATATTATGGTGGTCTACTAATACTGAGTAACCATTTAATGGTCTACTAGTGGTCTACAGCTCTAAATGTAATGCACTGGTACTCTACTGAATGTCTATTATGTGCCCTATCTGACAGTGTGTTAATAATACAAATAGTCTACTGATTTATTAATGGTCTACTAAGGGTCTACGACTGGCAGTCTTCTTGTATTTTTTTTTTTTTTTTGTTATATTTGATGGGCCAAAGTTTGACCACTATCTCGCCTGGTGGTAAGCGATGATGCGGTCTACGATGTAGCACGTCGTCCCATAAACAACCTATTCACTCGGGCCTTGAAGACACCTAAGTTATACGCTTCAGGAAATACAGACTCTGGCAAAGAATTCCACTCCTTAGCAGTACGCACAAGGAAGCTTACGCGATTGTCTTGTGGTACGATGATGGAAAGGACTAGGGGGAATCAAGTTGTGTAATTCTCCCGAACGTATTCCAATTAAAAGTTAACAATTGGTCTATTGAGTCTTTCATAGTTCTAGTAGACCATCTACTGACTACTGGTCTATTGCATCTCTCAAACGTGTTCAATACAATATATTTATTGATCTATTTAAATATATTAATGACTAGCTACTTTCGCGCGGTTTTACACGCTTTGCTCAGCTCGTATTGGTCGTAGCGTGATGTTTTAGCCTATAGTCATCCTCGATAAATGCGCTATCCAACACAAAAATAATTATTCAAATCAGACTTGTAGTTACGGAGATTAGTGCGTTCAAACAAACAAACAAAAAACAAACTCTTCCGCTTTATATAATAGTATAAGATTCCTATGAATTGATTCCAGGTATAGTGGAAGAGAGCGTGACAGGCGTTCACCGCCTGTACCAGTTGAGTAAGGCGGGCAAACTGTGCGTGCCCGCCATGAACGTCAACGATTCCGTCACGAAGACCAAATTTGATAACTTATATTCTTGCCGGTGAGTTTGATGGCTACTGTGTTTAAACCTCTGCTAATCTTTTCGTGACTGGAGTAAGAGCAGGAGTCGAGTGGACCTAGAGCAGACTAAGAGACCACCACCTCTGCTATTCCCGTGGGTGTCGAAAACGTGACTATGGGAGTATACAATTGACTTTCTTTCTTTCTTATGGAGTTTCTTGCTCGTTCTTCTCCATTCGAATCTACATTTTGGAATGAGCACCTAGCTTCACTGACGGACTGACTGACAGACTATTATTTATTTTGTACTAGCCTTTACCCGCGGCTTCGTTCGCGTCACAAAAGGATAAAAAGTTGCCTATGTGACGTATACCAATATACACAGCGCCATCTATACCAATACTTTTGTTTTCCCTCGGGAAAATCACATTTTTCCGGGATAAAAAGTACCATATTATTTAATACGGACTTCTAACTTTACGTCTGCAAAAATTCAAAGCAATCGGTTTAGTATATTTATTTTGTACTAGCCTTTACCCGCGGCTTCGTTCGCGTCACAAAAGGATAAAAAGTTGCCTATGTGACGTATACCAATATACACAGCGCCATCTATACCAATAATTTCGTTTTCCCTCGAGAATATCACCATATTATTTAATACGGACTTCTAACTTTACGTCTGCAAAAATTCAAAGCAATCGGTTTAGTAGTTACGGCGTGAAAGCGGATCAAACAAACAAACAAACTCACTTTCCGATTTATAATATTAGAGGTAGTAAGGATTTGTTGACGTTTCAAAAGTACCAAATTATGGTTTAGTTGAAATAAATGCTTTGACTTTGACTCTGATTTTGACTGGACAGTTGTGCTCTTTGATAAACCTGAACCTTTTAGGGTCAATTTTTAAATCATCACTTAATTCTTAACTGTACAATAATATTTACAAGTTTTAGTATGGAAGAATTGTCAGATATGCAGTGTTATTACTCAGTTCAAAATTTTCTGAGTATTGTAAAATCGGTTCTTAATAAACAGCTATCTTCACTGTCAAGGGCGTATATTATGATAAACCACCTTATGTAGTCACACGAGTAGATAGATCACCTGATGGTAAGCAATCAGCGCCGCCCATGGATACCCGCAATACTAGACGAGTTACAAATATGTTACCTGTTTCTCCGGGATGAAGGATTTAAAAATAAATGATGTTGTCTTGACAGAAATCCTAAAAAATAACACCCTTATTTTTATATTCCAGGGAAAGTATAATAGATGCGTTGAAGCGCAGTACAGATTTAATGTTTGGGGGTAAGCAGTCGGTCGTGTGCGGGTACGGTGAGGTCGGGAAGGGGTGCTGTCAGGCGCTCAAGGCTTTGGGATGCGTCGTGAGTACATTTTAAATTATATTTAATTGGCGTTCCATAGTCTCCTGCCTACCCTTATGGGTGACAGGCGTGAGGTTATGTACGTATTCAATGTTTTTCACTTCCATTCTTATTGAATTTAACTTCTACATGAACTTCGAATGCGGGAAAATTAATTGTCTGTCTGTTTGTCTGACAAGCGACATATTTGAACTGCTGTCAGAACGTGCATTGTTGCTATCTTATTTTCAATTTTTTTTTTTTAAAAAAACGTTGCCACACACTAGGATTTTCTCCTGTGTCGTGGGTGCGTTTACAAACATACAAGTTCACATACACAATGACACCCAGACCCGAAACAACAATTTGTGGATCACACAAAGTGTTGTTCCGTGCGGGAATCGAACCCGCGACACGGTGCACGGCAGCCGGTTGCCCAGTCACCGCACCAACCGTGCAGTCAAAAATCAAAAAGTCAAAAATGTCCATCTTGTTTTTTTTAATAATAATACAGGGCTCTCTGGCCAATCTTACTTACTTTTTTTAAAAAGAGTAACGAATGGAGTTTCTTGCTCGTTCTTCTCCATTCGAATCTACGTTTTGGAATGAGCACCTAGCTTCACCTAATTTCACTGACGGACTGACTGACAGACTATTATTTATTTTGTATTTGTTGACGTTTCAAAAGTACCAAACTATGGTTTAATTGAAATAAATGCTTTGACTTTGACTTTGACTTTGA